GAGATATCGTGGAGTTGAAGTCCACTCATCTTAAAGTGGTCAAGTTTGGACAACACTGCTCTACATGCAGAAAGGTTGGAAAAGCTTTTGTAGAAAGCCCTCAAGAGCTGTAGTGTTGCCAGTACTAAGCTAGATAGACCATTGGTCTGACTCTGTATGAAGGCAGCTTCTTGTGTGACTATATTTCTATTTATGATTCCATGTCAAATGCTGTCATTTTGAATCCCTTACACTCTTAGCTGTATCATCAAGACCAACTTGGAGATAAAAAGAACTCCAGTGGTCTTTGCTATCACTTGGACCTATCTTGGACTTTATATAATATTATTCAGTACTACAACTAATATTATTGATGTTGGCAGTTTGCAGGCACTGATGATGTTAGTTAGTTGGTTAATGAAACATCTGCCAGGAAACAACCAAGCTCAGACAGCACCAAAAACTCCATGGTTCAATCTGAGTTATCTATATTCTCTTTAACTGAAACTAATATTATTCTTAGAATGTGAATATAACTCTTTAGTTTAAAATTATATTTACAAAACTTAAAGTGTAAACATATTAAAAACAATACTGTAAAATGCTATTATTATTGATTGAATAATAATACTATCCTAACTATTATCAATGACCTCATCATGATCAGCTGTGCCATGACCTTGGTCAGCAGGAACAGGAAAATAGCCTGATGAAATTGTAGAAAATATCAGTAACATTTTTTTTTTGTTGCTATCTCTGGAAAATGGCTCCCTGGTTCTTTTGTATGAAACAGTTTCATTATCTATAATAAGGATGTTCATTGGAAAGATCTAGACATACAAAACTCAGGAGAGATATTAACTGGGATCTTGACCAGGCCATCTTCTGATCTGGGCCAGTAGCAATTTCCACCACAGCTCATGGCACTCCTCTGTGTTCTTCTTCTATAAACAACATCATCTTGGTGGAATTCAGTTTCCCCTGCAAAGAAAAATGAGAGAAACAACTGAAAAATGTTAACAGTTCCTGAGCAATTATATTATTAGCCCTTTGAGGAGGCAAAGTCAAGAAACAAGTATGGTAGAGATGCCAGGGATGTTCTTTATTATAGTCGGGTAGAATAATGAAATCTCGAAAGCCTGTCCAAGTTTTTCTTTGCCACATGTTATGCTACAAAAAGATTAAGGGTCTTTTTTTTTATTATTATTTTGAGTTTCTTTCTCATGCTTTCCTCTTTCTCAGGACTGAATAATCTTTTCTAAAAGTCCCCCCTTAATGGCTTTCTCATTCCTTCCCCATTCACAAGGTCAAGTCTACATTATTTCATACCACTTCCCCAGTCAGAATCCCTCCCCTTTCCCATGCATGAAGATGGGAATTAATCAATGCCAATGGATACATAATCATTCCCTCTTCCTGATTAGCAGACAGACAGAGCTGGAAAGTGCCCACACTCTCCTGTTGCCCAGCACCTGCAACTGGAGGATTCAATGTAGTAGGAAACAAAGATTCTCCTTTGTCCTGGGCATCATCATCTGGTGATCTTGAGGGCAGTTTGTGGGGATGGAGCTTGTGTGAGAATTTCAGAGGGAACTGGCAGACAATATGGACATCTTTTACCCCCTCCCACAACCTCTCTAATTCAGAGTAACTCTTCCAATAAATAGGATATTCTAAGCATCTCATCCTGTGTTTACAATCTAGAATACATTCCACTTTGTGTTCCTCTTCCTCATCTGCAGGAACCATTGGGGGGTGGGGTGGGGAAACAGGTGCAGAATGCAAGGGACAGGGCAGCTTCTCAAAAACAAGGAAAGATTTGAATCTTGAGTGAAGATTATACACAATTATAGATGGAAGGCCACTGAGCTAATTTGATACATAACAGGGAAACAGCCAATACATTTTGAGTCCAGTTTTTTAGGCAGGAGGAAGGTAAAAACTTAGTGGGAAGTGATCCAAATCCCCACCACAATCTTGGTGCAGTATGTTGCATGTTTTTTACATACCCTTGGCCAAATCTAAGTATTATTTTAAGGGAACTGAACAGCCTGTCTCTCCTGGAGAAAGTCAGATGCTCAAGGAACAGTGGAGGCAGGAACTCTAGTCATCACGATGTGGGGATGGTAGCCAGAGCCTGCTTGAAAGCAAGACATACTAATAGAGGAGTGCAGCAAGCTGTTATATGCAAATTCTGCAAGAGGCAACACTGTAATTCAATCCAATTGTCCTGCTGATAAGAGTCATAGCAATGCAAACACTAATCAAGTAATGCATTTATCTTCTCTGATTGCTCATTAGATTCTGGATGATGAAAGAATGATAAATGAATACAAATGGAGAAGAGCCTTCCCAAACGTGGATGTAAATTGAGTGCCATGATCTGAGATCACACAATTGACTCAGCTCTTGTATCTAAAAACATGGTCTAGAAAAAGTTGTGCAGCCTCTTGAGTTGTTAGTAACTCCTTGCAGGGAATAATATAAGCCATCTTGGTAAACAAATCTATCACCAAAATAGTAGTATAACCTTGTACAGCTGGAAGATCAATAATAAAATCTAGGGAGACTGGGACCCATAGTCCAGGAGGGATGGGAGCATCTGGACTAATCTGGTTGGCTTAATCATGACAGTCTTAGCGCTGTGACAGATGTGATAGGATGAAACATCGTCCTTGACATCAGCCCTCACTCTTGGCCCTGACGTATGGGTCCTGTTGTTGTTCCAAGCAAATCTAATTAACAGATCTATTACTTCCCTTCCCTTAGCTTCTCTCTGAGTGTCCCTTTTGGGCAGTAGTGGTGGTAGTGGTTTTAAGACTGTGGTAAGGGGGCATTGCCAAAAAATATCACACTGAGGCTTGTGTGATAGCGCATTCACAACTTCTTTACTTACTTATTTTTATTGCTTTTAAAGGGAAAGGAACAAAACACAAAGATAATTATGATGAAAATACATACATTGTCAAAAAGAAGAAAAAAACACGTAAAAAGTCCTTTAACAAAAAAGTGAAAGAAATACAACAAAGAAAAAAAACACATAGTATGATATGTCATTATAACAGTAAACAGTTACAATTCTATATATACTTATCTAATGCAAATATTATTCAAGTGAATATATATTTCTAATACACTTATGTGATTATCATTTTTTTAACCTACTTTATTTTGTATAAATGAGTCCTGTATTTCATTGTACTTGTCCATTCAAAGTCTATGTCTATAGGCAATCTGCTCATAAGTGACAAGTGCAATCAGGTCTTCAATCCATTGAGTAAATGGGGCCGTATGTTTATCTTTCCAAAGCTGCAATATCAGTCTTTTGGCCATAGTAAGGGCACAGAGAATCCATTTACATTGTCAGGTTGTCAAATTCCATGTACTAGTATATAGTTCAAGAGAATATCATCCTCTGAAAAATTAAGCTTTTGTTGCACAATTATATGTATATAATCCACTACTTCCTCCCAAAACTTCATAAGTATTGGACCTTGTAGAAACATGTTTTAAAGAAGCATTATCCTTATTACATCTCCAACAGAATGCAGTTTTTGACAGTCCTTTTCTATACAAATGTAATGGAGTTAAATAAATTCTAAATATTTTTTGTTGTATAAGTTGTAATTTGAGGTCCACTGACACTCTTGCTATAAAAGTTAAGTTATTGTCTAGACAATATAGGAACCTCTAATTCTTTATTCCACACATTTCTTAGGATCTGCATAACAAATTGATTTATTGATAACAAATATCTATAAAAACTAATAGTAGTTTTTGTTTGTTTGTTTGTTTTAGTTTTAAAGGATTTAACATGCTGTTTTAGTATTTCAGGTGTCTCAGAAGCTGAAAATGCTATTGGTCCAAACAATGTTGTTAACAAATCTTGTAACTGTAAATATTGCCATTGGGTTACATCTGATAGATAATATTTATCTCCTAACATACAGTATGTTAAAAATTCATCTTCATTATCTATCAGTTCATCCAAAGTTAATATCCCCACTTCCATCCAATTTTCCCCAATTTTTAAAGTTGGGTTTCCCCATAACTTTGGGTTGGCATGGGAAAAAGGGTCGAATCTTTTTTTTTTTTAATTAGATATTACATTCTATAACTTCCTAACTGACAGAGGTACTAGAGTTTTAGTATATTTAGATCCTACTGTCCATCCAACCAAAGGTGCTATATATGTATATTCCAAAGTTGCCCAAATTGGAAAATTAATACCAATTGTTGGCTTCCAGTATTTAATACTTGACCATGGGTAAGCATGATGATATATGATATTTGGAAAACTGAATCCTCCCTCATTAACTGGTAATTGCATTTTCTGTAAAGATATTCTTGGAATTGAAGAACCTAGAAATTTTCTAAACAAAGAATTTATTTTCTGAAAATATTTTCCAGATATATAAACTGGAATTCCTCTCAGAATAT